ATAAAAAGAAATTCATGCACTTAAATATACGTACTATTGAAGAAGATGCTCTTATTCACTGTTAATAGCACTGATTTAAATAATGATCATATATTTAAATCTACTAGACAATTGAAGTATCTATCACTATATATATATTATTGCTTCAAATAAACAAAAATATGAATAGAACTGAAAAACTAAACAAACAAGAGATAGACTGAGTACATGTCAAATTCTGAAAGGATTGTCAATCACGTGTAAACTAATCGACAAAAATCTAGTCGAAATTTTTTCTTACTCACATGTATTCCATGCAGATAAAAATATGCAAGTTTCAAATTTATACTTTATCTTTGTTTAATAAAATCAGCCATAGTTGCATTCTTTGATGTCATGAAATGTCTATAAGATTAAGAGCGTCATTCATTTATAATAATAATAATAATAATAATAGATAAATAAATATAACTAACTTTATATTAGTACACTTGAGCGAACAGATGTTCCTGTCCTATATAAAGAACTTTTGTTGGAAAGTAGATTAATTTAGTGCAAATGGAAGAAAAAGCTAAAATATGATTTTAAACTACTTTATATAGGCTATACGCTTGATTTCATCAGTTTTTTTTCTTCTTCTTCTTCTCAACAAAGTGCAAAAGCAAAGAAATTTTATATGCTAAATCAAGCTCATTATATTATAATATCGCAATAGATATGAGTATACAATTGTGTCAAGCTTCATTTATCTAATGTTGCAAACAACAGATTCAATCATAGAAACGTTGCACGTATATATTACTGTCATAAAAGTGTTGTCCTCATTTTTCAGGAATACATCTATTTTTGAGTATTGATGGACAGCTCATAATTATAAAGGACGTGATAATTTTTCTCTATATACGTATTTATTGTCACTAGTTTTATTCTCACATCCGTCTGATTGATACTATCATATAAGTCTAATCAATTATAATAGAACATGATACTGATGAAGCATGGAATCTTATCTTTCTACAAGAGTAATACTTAAATGAAACAAATATTTTAACGGGTAAAAAAATGTACCTAAAACAATAAATATGGATGATAGGGTTAACTATAAGCATGCGTTTCTTTTTTTAGCTATCATTCTATTCAAACTGCCTAAAGTCGATCGGAGTGAAGAGTATTTCAATTGAATAATAAATAGTTAACTCGATTTCCTGAGCTCTTACAATCTGTCTCTTTTCCTTTTTGTTATTGATCTCAGTAGTCATCATACAACAAATAACTATTTAATATGCACATCTGGTACTAACGGTGTTTTTATTTATGTTTTGTTTTGACTATATTTCTTTTCTTATAATAAAGAATAACAAAAAAATATCAGTATTCTTGTCCTTATCTGATGAAAGATTATATTAATAATCAAGTTTTTTAATCAATGCAACATATACTCACACATCTAGTGAATCAGATTTTTTAAGTTCATGATATTTTCTGATGTTGATAACTAAATCATGAATAGCCTTGCGTATGATATTATAATATTTAAAAAAGAAGAGTTCTAATGAGAAAGAAGAACGAACAACAAAACAGTAACTAGAATTGAGAAAGACGACAACATCAAGAGAGACATGTCTTTCTCTAACTCTCTTTTTTTTTCTATCGAAAAAGACGATCAACCGCTTTCTTCTTGCTCTCGGCGTCACATTGCATGTTTCACAGAACAACGCTTAATAGTACTGCGACATTTGAAAGAACATGCTGTTCCCCCTAGCTCTAGGCTGATACAAACATGTTACAACAACGAAAAAAATATGGCTCAATTAAGTTGATAAAACGATCTGATATCGAAAAGATACGAATAATCAGTAGGAAATCTTCACATTCATTATTCATATACGTTATAAAAGATTACAATTTACTATATATACTACATATCATAAGTTTTAATGAAAAATAATATCTCTGAACTTGGAATATAAGATTATGATACTCTTTATTTACACATGTAGCAATCTTGAAATTAAACATATCGAATTACATTACTATAAATATCGTTGTTCCTAACATTTCATTGATTAACAGTAAAAAAATTGTTTTTACGAGTACATCTAGAGTAAAAAAACATCATTTGCTTAGTTGAAATTATCTAGATTTATGTCGTAAAAAATCTGTTAATCTTATAATTCAACCATAGCGTAAGGAATTATTTAATCTTTTGCGCTCGAAGTAATAGAAGAAGAATATTCTAATGAAGTATGCAATGCGAATAGAGAATAGAATCTTTCCGACATGATTTAAAACGAGCAGATTAAAGTTCAACGCCCTATTTATTATGCCATCATGGTATGAACTATAAATAGTATTATCGTTACTTTAAACTTTTATTTCGTAATATCATTTGAACAGTTGCTGTATTACTATGCTGTACTCTTTGCCAATTTATTCTAGGTTACTAAATATTTATTGATCAATCAGTAAGAAAATTGAATATTAATAGAAATGATTTAATCTCAACTACAGTTTATTCGGGATATGAATAATGAAAAGAAACCATTCTCGGAGGATTTTTCCTTGTATAAAGTTTATCTAGTTGAAAGTTTTTTACTAATAACCTTGATTTTATATACAGACAAGAGATAATAATCTATTCATATCATATGAATATTTAAGTACATGAATGAAACCTAGTTTTGTTACATATTAATGATAATATCGGCGATTTCTACATAATGAATAGCTCATTTTCTGTTTACTACTTATTATGTATATGCCATCATCATGTTATTCATTAATATTCAAGGGCAGAACACATCTTATCAGTTATTAATGAAAATTGCTAGTTTATTCCTAATGATGATATCAATATATATATACACTCTTTGATCTTCGAAAAACTAACTATATGTTGGAGATAAATTAAGAAATCGAAATTTTGTTTTATAAATAAAAGATTATAAGAGAATCACTTATCCTGTGTGTATGTAATCATAAAATAGTTCAAATCAATTTTAATCATCTAAAACTTAAAAGAATAGCGTTAGAATAATTGGCATATTGATGAAAAATTTATTATGATAAATGGAAGAGTCAAAAGTTTTAGTGGGATGGGTAGATAATAAGCCGAGTTATTTTCTTGGTTTTAGTCAACCATAGATTGTTGAGTTATCAGACAGTAACTGCATTAGATATATTAATTAAAAGATTATGATTAATGTCTTGATATCACTCAACTAATTTAAGCGATACTCGACTTCATAGGAGAAAAAAAAAGAATATCTTACCATTATTATTATATTAGATATCTGTTTTTCATACAGAAAAAAACAGACTTCAATTATTTAATAAAATCCATAAAATTTGACATTTGATACTTCTTCGTTGTCTTTTCTGTCAGTTTTAATAAATTTAAATATTTCTATGGCGTATAATAATTATATCATTTCTATCCGAATAAATACTTCTTTTTGACATAACAACATATAAACAAGAATCTATAATTATCAATGAGTAGAAATAGGTAAATTCATAGTGTACAAATCTAGTAATATTTATTTACTGTCGAGGAGTTAAGTGAATAATTTGCTAATCTAACGTTAGAAGACATTCAGTAGAAAGATGACTATTCACTGTGTAGTAGTAACGTTGTAAATAGCGATAAAGTAAAAGGAAATGTTTTTCTAAAAAGCAAAATGTAAGAGCAAATAATGTCGTTTCTTACATTTATTAACATATAAAACATGTTTATTTTCAATGACGTATTACGATTACCGTACACACGTCATAGTTCCATATTAATTATGTCAGTGCTTCACGACCTTATTTCAAGTCATACCTTATACGACGTGTTTGCTGATAAAATCGCAAGACTATATATGGTAATATTATCACTGTATAGAGAATAAGTGCTAATAAATGTTTGTCATCGCTTTATATTATATTCATATATAATTTGTTTGATTGAATCGATAAGAACTTTATATTATATTTCTGTTACTCAAATAGGAGAAAATTTTTATTTATTAATTTAAATCAATATCTCTTTATTGTGTATTATTCGATTTATAGTTTCAATAATTCGATTTTGTCTTTTATTAATATTCATCACAATGGTAACAAGAAAAAATACTATACAAGTCACAGATATAATATGTTGGGGCACCACAGGTAGAAATAACGCCTACAGCCATTGACTAAGCAGAGATATAAGAAAATGAACACGCAACCGATAATCGAATATAGAGCAATATTAATTGAATAATCTGTCGTCTCTTGCGTGTAAAACTGTTGAACTCTAATAGGAACATGGGGAACGTTTTCAATGAAGATATTATTGAAAAGAAAATAAATTTTTTTGTAAAACTATTAAAAAGATTGAGCATTGAATAACTAAAAGTTGGTTAGTTATTAAGTATTTTATCGACAAGAGTCGTCATGAGCGAACTTTAACAGTTACATAAAGAATAAATTCTTATGAACAATGAGTACATGGTAATTATATAATGTTAATTAAAGTCTTCTCAGAAATTTGGGAAAAAATATTTTTCAGGAGGCTTTTAAACAACAATCTGTATAATATTCGTCGTAGTTTCTCTATTATATGAGTATATAAATTCAAAAGTTTATTTCATTTGATTAAGATATTTTACAATTGATCTGTTACTGGTAAAAATTCTTGATTCACAGTTTCAAAACTTTCAGTTGATAACATATGTGATTTTAATCGAAAGTTAGATTCATCTGATGATGCTGTTTGTTCAGCTTGTCTTGCTCGATATTCAAAATCTTGATGTAACGCATGTATTGATGCTTGTCGATTTAATATATCAAAACCAATATAAGCTATTTCAAGCATACTAAGAACAACATAAGTAAAAAGATTTTCTGTTCGTACTAAATGACTTTCTATATGACATTGTTTTATATTACTGTAATCACGTTCATAAAGAATAACCATTAAAAGTGTATGTAATGCAAGTGTTAATAAATCTAATAATTGTATTGCACCATACCACGTTATACCAAGATCATGCCGTACTTTCGAATTTTCCCATTTACGAAATATAATTGTAATTAAACCAAAATAACAACTAACAATTATTGAAATAAATATAACATGTACAATTTTGAGGAAACGTAATTGTTTATGTTCATAAATACAATAATTTATTGATGAAAAACAAGAATAGGTTTGCGATGAAAAATTATATATCATAGGTTTTCTATTATATGATTTATAAATATGCATTTCAGGAGCTTTAACATGAATACTATTAAAAACTAAAGCACCAAATTCAACACAAAATAAAACTACAATAAATTTTGGATCCATTGTCTTTTGAGGAACAGTTGGAAGACTATGAAAACTCTGTCTATTATACGATAATGGTCTATGAAAATCCATTTTTTAGTAATCTAAAATAAATTTTAATAAGAGAAATCTAGTACAACATATAGTATGAATAATGATTATAATGCTTTATGATTTTATCATCACTTACCTATAATATGAGTATATTTTTCTGGAAGTATATATGAAAAAACTCTATTTGATTAGTGACAAAGATATTTCGTTTGTAATCAGATTCATTTCTTTTTCTTTCGAATATATTTGCTTGATAAAATAAAAGCCCTTCTTCCTGAATATACATCATTATGTACTCAAGTTGCATATAATTCTCACTTGATATGTCACAATGAAACCACTTCATATCAAATAAAATGCATATTTATGATTTAAGTCTTTAAGAAACGAAGTTTTATGAATTTAAATCAGAATCCATACATGAGGGTGTGGGTATAAATATTATGCATCACTCTCAAGATGATTTGCGGTAGCAAAAGTCAAACCTACATTACTAGTGCAACGATTCAACTCTAATTTCTATATTCTATATTATACTCCATGTAGTCTAATGTTATATTGATTCTTGATAAGATGTATTTGGAGATTGAAATATGAGATACATAACACGAGTATTCATTATGCATTACTCGATATTTGATTTGCTCTATTAAATTTTTATTTTTTGAATTTAATGATCATATATACTGTTCGTAATGGAAACTCACGATAAAATATTATACACTCGTTAATAAATTATTCTTTGATCATCATTAAATAATTCGTATCTCCCGATAATTATCTATCTAAAGAAAATTAAGACTGATAAATATCGAAGATAAAGTTATATACAATGAAGGATGTTATTTAACGACTGTTTTATGATGTACTATACATTCATAATGAAATAAACCCACACAGAAAAAGGTATCAAAAACTATATTATCAATGGAATTAACATCAATATTACTATGGTACGAATAAGAATAATATTTTCTTGTTGTTGTTTAAGACAAGTTTATAGTACGCCAGTCGGTTGCTAATATTCAGTAACCATTAGCAATACGAGTATATTTTTTCATTTCTGTTTTGTAATATGAGTCGTCAATATTCGATGTTGTCATCACCTACTTGTTCGCAAACAAATTTATCTTGGTAAATCTATTTATACCAAACTGTTTTACAGATATAATCAAAACAAAGATAAGTTTTCTTTCTCATGCTATATATAAATTCAATGACTATTAAAAAGCGTATGCATGATTTTTGTTTAAATTTTATTTGTAATTAAATCGGATGACTAGCTGATTGAATACAATAAATGAATATTATACAAAAATTAAAAGAAAATGAAATTATAGTTGTTTTTTGTTATTTGTTTTGAAGATTATTTACCACTGGCTTGTGCGGCTGCTGCTCGAGCTGCCATTGCTTCAGGCACCATAACAAAATGTTTATAAAGTGATTGAATATATGTGAACACACATTTCCAATCAGGTTTATCACCCATTAAAATCATATCATTAACTTCAAGTAATGGTGCACAACCATTATCTCTATTAATTAGAAATATTTCTCGTTATATATATTTTTTTTCTTCATTGAAATCAAACTTACTCAGCTGCTTTAAATGCTATTTCAAAATTTTTCCTTCTATCTTTAGGATTAAGAGAATCATAATTAATAGCGTTAGGTAAATAATGATGAACAAGAGCACAAAATGCCATACCATCTGCCCATGATGAGGAAAAATTTGTTATATTAACATGCTTTATAAAAGAAAATTTAGTAAATAACGATGATATCTATGAACAATTCAACTTACATTATAACCTTTAGTAACATGTTGACACCAATGTAGAAGACGATCTTTAATACTGGACGGATTTGTTGGTGCACCAGTACCACCCTCACTAGAAATTATTTTTAGAGTATAAGTTTAATAGGTTTTAAAGAATTACCTGCTGACTTTTCCTGTTCCACCAGCTGCTACATCTTTTTGTTGAAACATAGAAAAAGCTGCTTTTGCACCACCAGCAGCTCCTGGACCTCCTAGAATATATATATATAATCATATCGACTCACCACAGACATGTTTTCTTCATACCTCGAACTAAATAGAAAAGATATACTATATATAGAGAAATAATTTATTTTATTTACCATTTCTTCCGCTCATTATCGTTTGTAATCAAACTAAAAATAGAAAATATACAAACTAAAAATAGAAAATATACAAACTAAAAATTTTTTTGTTCATTTAGATTTATGTACCGGATCATGCATATATGTACTTCATCTATACGATGAAATTTGAAACTAGTCTGTGTAGAATCGATTTCTTTTTGTTCTTTCCTTTTCGATGAATGGAACTCACATTTTCTTTTTATGTTCTCTATGTAAAGAATGAAAAAAACGATACAGTTAATTTATATCACATCGAGACAAATTATAGATTTCGAATCAATCGATAAGAACAAAAAAAAAATTTTTTCCTGAAGATATTTATTTAAGAAATATAGAAATTATGTAAAAATATTCCTATGATCAATTTATTATTTAGCTAGAAAATAAGACCTACCGAAAGTTTTTATCAATAGTTGTGGTACTGGTTTTTTTTGTTATTTTTATCTGGTCGATGCGAGTACGTTCCACACTGGTCCAAATGATATCAAAGAGTCAATGAGGAGAAAGAGTTATATATAGCTTTTATTCTATGGGAAAAGCAGAGACACTTGGCAACCTTCGTCACTAACTGTCCTTATATACTTTTTGCTTATAACGAAGACAGCTTGTAATATACAACAAATATTGGCAAGAAGAAGAAGAAGAAAGATGAGGATGTATGAGTCCGTATATCTCCTGCCTTTTCATTTATACCAATGAGAAAACAACAAAATAATAAGTACAAGGAAGAAGAATATCGACAAAGAAAAACTGTACGTTCTGCTTTATCTTTTTCTACATCTTGATGATGATAGTGCCCAAAAGAAAAGGAAAGAAATACGTATTATTCATTCTGCTACGCATCTCCAATAAAGAAAAGCTGCTCGCAAGGACAACAAACTGCATGCATATAGTTCTAAATTAGGAAATACATATATATATATATATATATATAAGCAATTGCATCGTTGTTGGACCACTCGATAATAGATTTATCGATTACGCAAAATCAACGACATCATCATATGTCTTACTTATACAAAAATATTAATCTTTGATTTTCATTTGTCATAGATAAATATAAAAGGATGATGATCTATTTATTCGAAACAAGAAGAAAAGAATTTTAACATATGACCCGCTGTTCAGATATGCCGAAAAAAACATAAGTACATAAAAAGAAAGACAGAAAACATTATAGTTACATATATATGAGTAGAATACAAAGCAATTTTATATATATATTACAAATTCTCGTTTTATAGCTTGATTATGTTAATATGTCGAGAAAAAGAAATTAATCAGTCGGTCGATGGTATCATATTTTTGAAAAAAAATAGAATGAAAATTTAAAATTAAAAATAAAAATGTTTATACAATAATAATGATCATGATAAAATGAGCAAAGAAGAAGAACAGAATTAATGAATTTATATCATTAAATAATAATATATAAGGTCGTTTAAGAGAAGAAGAAAAAAAATCGTTTGCAATATGATTGTCTATTTATCTTCACATATATTTACTGCACTGCAGGTCCTGGTGGATCCTGATGATTATCATGATGTGGACCCTAAGATAATTGATTATAAAATATATAGATAAAAATTTAATATCTCATTTACTTGAGTATTCGGTTTGCCAAGACGTTCACGATTATTACGAAGTGTTCGCGGGCGAAACATAAAAAGTAAGAAGGCAATAGCAAGCCATATACCTAACATTAAATACATATTCATCATTCCTGTATCAGCATTACCAGCGGTATTCGGTTGACCAGGTACTAAAATTTTGCTTTTTATGTAAAATAATCAAAAAATATGTTTTTTTAATATTTACATTGACCAGTAAAACATTCAGTATCAGTACATGTTGTTTGTGCATTGCGTAGCGTATTGATTAAACGATTCATCGCATGTTCATGATTCATTTGAAACATGTTCTAATAAATATAAGAAATTGAACAGAAAATTTAGAAGAAATATAATCTCACAATGCATTCACATGGATCAAAACCTCCATCAGCACCCGGGTTACCACCAGCGCCGTCCATTATCTATTAAGAAAACTTGTAAATTTCATTAAATTTATAAATATATCACTAGTTACGATGTATATATAAATATATATAGAAACTTGAAAAGGAAAGAATAAAAAAACCCAACTGCTGCTTTTGTGTTTATATGGGAACAAAGAATATGTGGAATGAAAAGAAAAATTGAAGTGAATAATGACACTACTGTTGCTGTTTCATGATAGAAAACAATCTAAAGAAAAAGAAGAAACTAGCAGTTTTTTCTTCCTTAAATATTTAATTATATTTTAACATATGAATTTTCTTAATTGTAAAAAAGTAGGATACGGATGATTTACTATGCTCTCAATTTAAATACAAATCATACTATAACTAAACTGACAACAAAACACATATGTGTTTACTAAAATGACATTAACCAATGGATTACTTGGATGAGTATAAACCTATCGACGTATATTATAGACAGATAGCGCCACGTCTTAAATACTAATACAACAATTTAAAAATAAGAAATTATAAACAATTAGTTTGTAGAAGACAATATCAAATCTTCATTATATGTTTTTTGTTTCTTAACAACTGCAATACGTTCTTCGTGTTCATTCATAGTATTTGTTTCTTGCGTCATTGTTGCGAAATATTCTGCCTGACAAAATGTTGATCGATGTCGTTTGAGAAGAAGATTTGTATTCGATGTAAGAACTGTTTGAGAAGATCGTGTTTGATAACGATTGAAATATGCTATTAAGAAGAAATCAAGTTCAAAAGCATTGCCTGTATTTGTTGATTTTGTTTGTAGTTGTTGATTATTCCACGAATCAACTACATTCTCATCGATATACAAACGAGAATTATC